TATTTTATTTGAAAATAAAATGTTTTAAAAAAGATTTTGCAAAAAGATTAAATTATTGTAAGGGAATTGCTTTCAATATTAAAATTAAGATCATTTTTATCGAAACAAAATGATGACATATGATCAATTAGTATTATTTTTTAAATAGATGTTGTGAAATGTTACTCTTTTTTTCACACATAATCATATTTTCAAATCCACATTTATTTACATAAATAAAAAATTATCTTTTTAATAAACTTTAATTAATTTTAAAATTTTATTAAAAATTATTTTTTAAATAATTAATTACATCTAATAAAAAATTAATTATGACTCTCTATTTTATTTATTTTTTTAAATTCATCAAACGATTTAAAACCATTATAACAAGCAAGATTCTACATATTTACTAGCTCTATTCAGCCAACAGAAAGGCTTGCGCACCCTCTTAACACACACATGACATCAAACTTAGTTCCTACAGCTCCTTATCCAAGTCTCTTAGCTTTTTTCTTTCAACTTTAACAGCTGTTTTCTTTTTAAAGCTCCCTTTATACCAATTTTGTTTTCAGCTGATAAGCTATTAATTTATTTGTTGATGCATTTGTAAGCTCCTTAACCACTATTCCTCCATGAGCATCATTCCCTCAATCAAACAAAGCCCAACACGTTGGCCTCTATTTTTATGCACTGTTCTTGTGTTCGATGCGTTATTTAATTTCGATTCTCTTAGAATTATGTTATCCGAATTTAAATTTTAGCATTTCCAGTTTTCATTTTCAATGATTTAAGCAATTTGATTGCATCGTTAAAATTATCAATAAGTCCAATCATCCTTTAAGAGCTGTAATCACCTGACTAATTTCTACTTTAGTTGCCCTTTGATCTAGCTTTAACCAGCTGCACTGCTTCAAAGGGTGAAGGTCACCATTCACCAAAATCACATCTCGAAACTTGGTTAATTTTGTTCAAAATTAGCTAGCATGTTTGATCAATTCGGTATTTTTAAAGATAGTTTCAACAATAATAATCATAATTAATTATTACATTAATATTTTCATAAAAATTTAATATTACTTTTTTATTATTACAATTTTTTATTTTCTTTTCCATTTTCGTTTTTTCTTCTTTTCTTTTTCATCTCACTGGTTGGTCGGATCTTGTCACCAGTGACAAAAATTGGTTCTAGGGACATCGTTTTGGTGCTCCTAACAACTTAATCCGATTGCTACGGCCCCGTTCTGGTTCTCCCAGTGACCAAATTCAATTGCGGGGCTCTGTTCCAGTGGTCCTAACAACCGGAGTCGATCGCAAGAGCACAGTTTTGGCGCTCCAAACAGTGCCAAAGTCGGCCATTGGTGTTTTGTCTTGGTCTTCAAGCAACGATGAACAGTGCGGCTAATATTTTTTGTTGAATTCTCTCTCTACATTATTCGCTCTAAAGGGTAAAATAGAAATTTTATTAAAAAGTAAGGATAAAATCATACATAAAACAATATTTTTTATTTTTTTCTATTCTTAGATAATCATTCACATGATAAAATAAATAATGGCTATTTCGATCAAAATTTGGAATAATTTATTTAACTGGAATAATTATTCTTTACAAATTATTGAATCAAATTACGAAATAAAACAATGTTTGGAATAAAGTTGGGATAAAACTGAAATGAAATAATCGTTATAACAACGAACCAAACATAATTTTAATATGCTATTACACCTTATCCTCAACTAAACATATCTAAGAATTGAGTTTAAATTTTTTTAATGAAATTTTATAAATAAAAGAGAAGTTATAATCATAATAAAGTATTATATTCATAATCTTCTTAGACTGTAGCTAAAGAGATTGATGCTCTGAACATGAACTTCTTATGGGGGGGGGGGAACAAAGGATGTCAGCAATTACGTAGACATGAATGGCCAGTGGGATTGGAGTAACATGCCCCTGGAGGTTAAAGAGCAATTATCCTTAGTCAATTTGGTTCCAAATAGGGAAGACCAATTATTTTGGCTTGCTGCTGCTAATGGACTGTTTTAAGTTGCATCTGCTTATAAATTGTTGTCAGGTACTCATCCCTCAAATGTTAATTGGCTGCAGGTATGGAAGCTGGACGTACCGCCCAAGATTAAACATTTCATGTGGTTGGTTATGCAGAACAGGTTGCTTACAAAGGAATCATGTGTATCTATGGGAATCACAAATTCGGCAAACTATCCGAGATGTAGTATGCCTATAGAGTTGGCTTGGCATTTGCTTGGGGATTGCGAGGAGTTAGGATCTTTGTGGAGATGCTGGCTATGGGGTTTTTCTTTGGACCATTTTAATTCACTGTCCTTGCTTGATTGGATTAGATTTAATCTCACTAGGAAAAATGTTATGGTTGATGGGCAGATGTCTTGGCCTGTTTTATTTGTTTTTGGATGCTGGTATACATGGAAATGGCGAAATAAGTGTATCTTTGAGGAAGGCTTTACTTAGCCATTGACAAGATTGTTCGAGCAAGAACCATGGCAATTCTTACACTACATGTTTTTCTTATTTCTTGGCTATCTACAAATACACATTCACTGAAGTAAATTTGAATATAAGATTTTAAGATTTTGAGATTTTCTTCTCATCACTAAGCTAATAAGGTTTTATTGGCTTGAAATTTTTATTTGGAGTCCTCCTGGATAATTTCATATCAAAAATTAAAAAAAAATAAAATTGCTCAACACATCATTTTTTGATGAAATTACAAGTAATTATCATAATCAAATAATACTTAAACAAATAACCCAATCAATAAATATAAAACATAACTAGATAAATTTAACATAAAATTAAATAAAAGCGATAAACGGTCTTTTATAAGCAATTCAAAATGAGCAAATTAAATTTATTACAAAATCATCATAGTCCAATGATCTAATTAGTAGAAATTAACTATTAATGTCCAAAATAATAATTAGTGACAAACTTAATGACCACTAATGCCATTGACCCATAATATCCTAAAAAAAATTTTAGAAGAAATGATGAAATGGAGAAGGATATATTTGCATAGTTTTAAAAATATTCCATAAAAGACATAAAGTTACAAAACTAATTAGCCCTTTGTAGAAGTGTGCATGGATTAGATCGGATTGAATTTAGATCGAGCTCATACTTAGATTATCATATATGCTTGTTCAAGTTTGGTTTAGTTCCAACTTTTGGGTTTCAAAAATTTTTTAAATTCAATTTAAATTAAAAAATAAAATTTTAATTCATTTATTAAACTTAATTTATATAATAAAAATTTTAAAAAATATGATTAAATTAAATTTAATGAGGTTATATTCAATTTATATATATATATAAATTTTTAAAAAATATATATTATTTTTTAAATTTTATTTATATAATTAATTTATATATTATTTATTTATTTATATATTTGTGAATTCGAATTATGTCAAATAAAGTTTAAATTTAAAATTTTTTTATTTAAAATTTAATCTAAAATTTAAATTAACTTAAAAGTTATGTTCAAATTTATTTTATAAATTTTAATTTTTTATTTAAATTCTCTCAAAAACAAATTTTTGAGCTTAGCCGGATAATCCGCCTTGAAGTGCTCTAATCTTTATACGCCATAGTTCATTTCTGATAAACTTATTACATAAAACGAAAAAAAGAAAAAGTCCGACAGAGCTTCGTAGATAAGGGACAGATAAAACATAAAAGGAGAAAGAATGTTGTAAGAAAAGGAAACCAAAAATTTCTTTACTCTCCAAGTTTGAAGCCTGAATCATTCTATTCTTTATCAAGAACCTGAAGATTGTTCCTTTTTTGGAATATTTGACCGCTTTTCTATCGGTTTTTTGGCAAGTGATTTCCCTCTTTTAATTGAATAAATCAAAGTAAAAATCACATTTTGATTTTTGGGATTTCTGATGTTTTAATGTGTTTGTTGATTTAAATGCCTGATCTTTTTTGTTCAGTTTAATGGGTTGTTTTTGTTTTTGATTAATTGAAAATTTCTGGTTATGAATTTGAAGAATTTATGCTTGATTTTTCATGATTTTTTTATATGGGGTGAAACTGTTTGGCTCAATTATGAAATTGTTGCTTAAAGAAACAACCTATAATTCAGAATCTTTCTACGTTTTATTTTTTTTCCAGTTTTTGAATTATCCTGGAAATATTTTGTAGGAATGATTTGGCATAAATTGAAGGTTTATCCAAACAGTAGAGAGGCGATAGGAACTTAGATAGACCCTTTGAGAAAGGATTTGACACTTTCTTTTCAAAATTAAGTTTGCGAATTCGGGTTCTAAGGCGATTAATGAGTATAGTTGAAGATTTTTTTGCTTATACAACCGTTCGAGAGCTGTAAACCAACATTGAACAATTTGTGAATAGGTTTGGTTTCTATTCATTTATGTTTGTTCTTAACAAATGATCACGAATATTTCAAAGTTCGTTAATTAGACGAACAAATCACTAACATAACAAAGTTTGTTTATATTCAATTCGTTTATTCCTACAGGCATAAATAAACAGTATTCAACAAATAATTCGTGAATATACTCAGTTTTTGTTTGTTTATATTTATTTATTAAGCTTAACAAATGATTATGAACAATATTTCAGAGTTCGTAAATTAAATGAACAGTCACTAACATAGTAAAGTTCATTCATGTTTGGCTCCTTTATACTCCTAACAACAATGCACGGTTTGAAATGTAAAGCCATTAGCAGCCATGAATTAGGTGTGTGATGATGAGTATTCTTCGCAACTGGGGATCAATGATATTGTAATTGTTTCTGTTTGCATCACTTAAGGAATATAGTGGGAGTTAAGCAAATACCATTGATTATAGGAGTGAAACTTGACGGTTCCCTTTATAATTGGAAAAATTGACTAGTTTGTTATATTCAATACTCAGATAGGTCATTTTTCTGTTAACTCTCTTTTCTCTTTTAAAATTTCCCCTTTGATATGCATTTCCATTTGTGATTTTTGACAAATCAGCGATGAACGGCCATTCACCTTCAACAAGATGAATGGATTCTCCACTGTGAATGGGTTTGTGGAGATAACCGAATCCCTGGCAGAGATGATCAAGTATGTGGCGAATGAACCCTCGGTGGGCCTTTTCTATGTCCAACAGCACACTCAAAATGCAGTTCCGAATGTACTTAATCTCAATAATCACATTGTCAAAAAGTCTCGTGAAGCAACTTTGCACACTGAGGACTTGGAAGATTCTATCACCATGGTGAGGTCAATGAAGGAATGTGGCTTCCCCATTGCTGATGAGATGATTAAGGACATTAGGAATTCTATAACACTAGTGTCAGCAAAACAACCAAAGAGAGGATTGATCCACAGTCATGCTTCAAGCTTTCGGATGAGAAGAACTAGCTCTTGGGGACCAATGTCTTGGGGTCATGGTTTTGGAAATGTTCAACAGGATGGAAGTAATTATTTTTCAACTGTAATCAAGTCAGTGAAACAAAAGGCAAGCAATTTGAAGTGGCCACAACTTGAGTCCAAGGAAGAAATGCTAGTTGAGTCCCAGAAGCCACTTCCACATCCTGTTCCACCATTAGCGGTTGCATCTGCCAGCTCTAGTTCAACTCCTGATACAGAAGCTGATGAACTACCCTTGTCTAGTCAAATGGCAGATGAACTCCATGTAGAAGAAGAAAAGGTAAAAACCGAAGATGATGCCAAACTGTCGCATCACAATTTATCATTCATGTCCGAAAACTATGATGATTTCAAGGCTGATAAAGATGCTAAATTAGAACAATGGTTGGAGGGAACTAAAGGCAAAATGGATAAAAGCAAGGGAGAAAGTGACACAGGTGGGCTTTTAACTTGACAGCATTTGGATTGAAAAAGAAGCTTGCGATGTTGTAAATATGTTATTTGTTATAAAAATATCTCCAAAGAATGATTATATACATATGATTGACAGTGAGATTCATTCTTTTATATCAAAATTAAATTGCATTTTTCACTTTTATTGTTCTTGCTAGTTCTCTGAACCTTTTTGACAGCTCAATGTTTGTCCCTGAAAGGTGGTTTTAGAAGGCAAGCATATCTAGTTTTGCTTGCTCTAAATGGCCTCCCATCTCAAGATATATGTTCCTCAAGCTATATCATTTCCCCCCTGTCGCACCTGGAGACTATTTGGGTAAGAGTGTAATGAATAAAACATATAACGAACAGTTTGCGTAACAGATTTAGTTTTTGTTCATTTATATTATTTATTAAATTTAATAAACGATTACAAATAATATTTTAGTATTCATTAATTGAATGAACAAATTAAGAATATAATAAAATTTATTTTTATTCGATTCATTTATGTCTGAGTGTAAACAAACAGAACGTTCAACGAATTTATAAAAAAATTTAGTTATGTTTGTTTGTTAGATTACAAATAAAATTTCATTATTTGTTAATTAAACGAACAAATATAATAAAATTTGTTTATATTCGATTTAGTTACATCTTTATATTTGAGTAACTCTGCAGTTGTTTATGATTCCATGGTACGTTTCCAGGTTCATTAAACCATGGAACCTCCGCAATGCGGACACTACCACACACTGTGCCTCCAATAATTGTTTTACTTGACTTGCCTGCGTCTTCCTTCATGCCTAAAAAAGCAGACTAAACTATGCTTATATGACATGGCAAAATTGACCAGATCCCAGAGCCAAAGTGCAACACGGGTGTTTTTTTTTTTTTTTTTTTTCTCTCCAAAATAGAAATATTTGTGTACCTTCATCTCAAGGAGGAGATGCAGTAAAACAATAAGAAAAGAAGTGTAAAGATAAAACAACACGTCTGCTAAAAAAAGAAAAACATTATAGTAGAGTTGGAATCGAAAATATCTCTCCAGAAGCCATTTATCAATATTCAGTGCCCCAAGCATACATCAGGGACATCAATTCCTGCTCTAAATAAGAGATTCTCAAAATACATTTACATATCTTATGGACAGGCTATTTGCCTCAACTTCCTACACTGCCTGTTGCGCAAATAGCTATTGGACAAAATTAAGGTAGGGTCTTGAGGTTATAATGAGCAGCATCCTGGCAAATGGTTTAAGGTCACTGAAAGCATCAAGATCAAGCCCATCTTACCCGTTGCATATGTCGCTGCTCACATTCTCTGATGAGGTAAGGTTGACCGTAAACCCTATAAAAGAACCGATGCATGCTCTGCTTCTCACACTGGTGTCTAACTGGAAAGCCTCAGTCGTGGCAGAACATTTTTCTCCATCACATATGGTCACAACTGGCTTCATGACTGTTAAACAGTGTGTCATTGCCCAACTTTGATTACAGGCTTCAGAATTGCTGATGTTACAGAGAAGTAGTGATTCTGAAGGTCAAGTTGGTGCTGCAGCAAGTCGCAGGGACGTTTTCAACAGGGAACTATCAAGAAATGCATCACAAGGCCATTGCCAATATCTGGTTCTTGCTCAATGCATAGCTAGCCATAGCATTTTTAACTCTTTCAGAATATAGGCCAAGTGGGAAGGATACCTTTACGGTGGGTAGGGATTGAGCCAAAAATTTAACCAAAATAATACAGTTTCCTAATGATGGGAATAGGACATTTGGTTGCTGCTTGTAATAGCAACATTCTGAAGAATTCAGATACAAGCTCCATGCATTTAAAAAGGGGATCTGCAGAATATTCTGGCTTAGGCATTAGGCAATGTCACTGCTGTTGCGCCTGCCGCAATAATCACAACAATACAGAAGCAATAGACAACAATCAATAATCAAATACGCAGGAAAAATAAAGCACACCAAGATTTACGTGGAAAACCCTCCAGTGTAGAGGGAAAAAACCACGGGCCGCCAGAAAAATCTTCACTATCAAATAATAGTTATACAAAGTTCTTCTCTAGCTAAAACTAGAGCTAATCAACCACTAGAGAAACAATTGGAGAAATCTCACCAAATAAGTGACTCAACAAATACACCCTGGATCTGTTCCTAGAGAGCTTCAAACCCGATCTTCACCGTTCAGAATGTAAAACTCTGAATCATAAACCTCCTGACAAGGTTCCAACTCAATCGGACCACGGATCGACTTCCGTTCAACCAACTCTCCCTTCTCTTTTTTCTTTCTCTGCTTTTCCTGGCTTTTCTTCTTTCTCTGCTTGGTTTTCGACACACACACAAAACAACCCCACCTCTTTTTTATTAAGTAGCTAGGGCTCTGTGTAAAATAAAAGATCAAGGCCTATGGCCTTTACTTGGTCCAAAACCACTTACATGGGACTGTACCCCATTTTCCTAACAATCTCCCCCTCCAGTCCCATTAGGAGGAGATTCATCACCATAGCAGTTTCATTTGGAACTTACCTTGGCCAGAGAACTCATTCCGGCCAAGTTACTACAAAGCTCAAGCTTTTCCCTGGAAAGTATCTTAGTCAACATATTTGCTACATTTTTATCAGTATGGACTTTCTTCAATAGCATCTGCTGTTCTTCAATCACTGAACGTAACCAATGATATCTAACATCAATGTGCTTTGTTCTAGCATGGTACATGGTATTCTTACTCAAATCTAAAGCACTCTGGCTATCACAAAATACTACATACTCTTTCTGATTCAACCCTAATTCAAGAAGAAAACGTTTCATCCAAAGCATTTCTTTACATGCTTTAGTTGCTGCAATATACTCAGCCTCTGTAGTTGACAAAGCAACACACTTCTGCAACTTAGACTGCCAAGATACAGCTCCTCCTGCAAAAGTAAACAAATACCCTGAAGTAGATTTCCTACCATCAAGATCGCCTGCCATGTCAGCATCAGTAAACCCTTCTAGAACTGGTTGTGAAACTCCATAAGTCAAGCACATTTTGAGGTACCCCTCAAATATCTAAAAATCCATTTCACTGCTTCCCAGTGAACCTTTCCTGGATTAGAAAGAAATCTGCTCACTACACCAACTGCATGAGCAATGTCAGGCCTTGTACAAACCATAAGATACATTAAAGAACCGACTGCAGAAGAATAAGGAATACTAGACATAGCTAGTTGCTCTTCCTTAGACACTGGACAAGATTTCTTACTTAGGTGAAAATGGTTGGCAAGTGAACTGCTAACTGATTTAGCATGTTGCATGTTGAATCTACCAAGCACTCGTTCAACATACTTTTCCTGTGACAACCATAGCTTTCCAGCTCTCCTATCCCGGATAATGTCCATACAAGAATCTGCTTTGCTGCGACCTAAATCTGTTCATTATCAAAAGACTTAGACAATTGTCTTTCAACCTGCAAACCCATTTAGCATCTTGTCCTACAATCAACATATCATCAACATATAATAATAGGATAATGAAGTTCCATTAGGGAATTGTTTAACATACACACAAGAATCCGCCTGGGTTGTTCTTTGTTAGCTATGACTCACCATAAAGAATCAAACTTCTTGTACCACTGTCGTGGAGCTTGCGTTTCAAAGCCATACAAGCTTCTTCTTTCAATTTACAAAACTCACTTCAAAAACCCTTCAGGGATTCATATAAATGTCCTCCTGCAATCACTAAAATGCAGTTTCACATCCACAGTTGCTCAAGTCAAGATTCAACTAGCTGTCAATCCCAGTACCACTCGAATAGAACTCATTTTTACAACTGGAGCAAAAATCTCATCAAAATCGATGCCTGGTTTCTGAGAAAAACCTTTTACTACTAATCGAGCTTTGTACCTCACTAGTTTGTCACCATCCTTTTTCAACTTGAACACCCATTTATTCTTTAATGGCCTCTTTCCTGTTGGAAGTTTAACAAGATCATAAGTACCATTCTTTCGCAATGACTCCATCTCTTCTTTCATTGCTTTTAACCAGTGCTCTCTATCCGAAGTAGCCTGCACATCTTGAAAGCTTTCTGGCTCCCCTTCACTGGTAACTAAAATAAAATCTGAACTTGAATACCTGGTAGATGGCCTGCGCTCTCTAGTAGATCTCCTGGGCTGAAACTCTACATCACTTGATGCCGAAGGTAGCTCTCCCTGCTCAACACTCTCAGGTAAAGAGGATTGCTCCCCCTGCTCAAAACTAATAGCATCTGGCTCATCACCAACTGTAGCTGGCTCATCCATATCCCCAAGTTCTGTTTCTGGCTCATTTTCACCATCTGTGGCTCTTTCCTGTGAAATCTCTGTCGGTGTTGAAACATCACACTCAACAGTAACTCGTGTAGTCTTCTTATTTTTCTCAAGATCTGCTATGGTTTCTTTTTCATGAAAAACCACATCTCTGCTTCTGACTGTCTTTCTCTTTACTGGATCCCATACCCTGTAGCCAAATTCTTCATCACCATATCCTACAAACACACACTGTGTAGCTTTACTGTCAAGCTTTGATCTCTGCTCTTTCGGCACATGCATGAATGCTTTACACCCAAAAATTTTCAAGTGAGAGTATGAAGCATCTTTTCCTGTCCACACTCTTTCTGGAATGTCAAAGCCCAAAGGAACTGATGGTGACCTGTTAAGTAAATAACAAGCTGTGTTGACTGCTTCACCCCAGAATGGCTTTGGTAATTTTGCCATCCTCAACATACATCTGACTTTTTCCACAATGGTGCGATTCATTCTTTCAGCTATACCATTATGCTGAGGTGTTCCAGGTTCTGTCCTCTCATGCCTGATCCCATGCTTTGAGCAATACTCTTCAAAGCTTTTAGATGTGTATTCCCCACCATTATCAGTTCGAATACACTTCAAGGGTAACCCTGTCATCCTTTCAACCATGGCATGAAATTTTTGAAAATACTGCAGTACCTGACTTTTATATTTCAACATATACACCCAAGTCTTACGTGAAGCATCATCAATAAAAGTAACAAAATATCTGCTACCACCTAATGACTCAACCTCAATGGGACCACATACGTCAGAATAAATTAATTCCAATCTATTTTCTTTTCTCTGAGAACTTTTACGAAAAGA